TGGCAACGACGTTGTAAAACAAGCCAATTCACTTCATGAACTCGACCACCAGGTTACCGGTTTTTTTTTTCCTTCGGTTTTTTTTTTCGGCTGTAACCATAATGGTGGTCGAGTAGATCATGTTGTGCGGGGTGGAGAACCCTCACTCCGCGCAAGGGGGATGATCGCACCACGTTGTGTTAAAATGGTCAAGCACCCTCGAGGCAGTTACACAGTGCTTACAACTGTCTCTGGAAGTGAAAGCACCAGAAAATCAAGTAAATTTTGTCATACGCAGCTGTCATCCGTAGCAAGGAAGTACAAGATGCCGATCACCCTTAGCAGGATGCAGCGCACCCTTCATGCGACTCGCCGAATATCTCACGGCGCTTCGCGCTTGGTGATGTGAGAGCCTGGTCCGGTGAGAACCCGGCGTGCTCCGTCCCGGCTTTGTAGGGATGCGAGGTCAATGGTCTAACGACTACGGCATGCACGACTATGAGTACACCCCCCCCCGTCCCCTCCCAAATGACCCCGATTTTCGATTTGTTGGCCTGTGTCTTGAAATTTTTTCTCGTGTACCCTGACTCTGCCGGAAACAGGTTCATTTTCCCGATGAAAGATATTTTACTTTTATTGCGTCTTTTACGCCAGACAAATGGTTCCCATGATAGTCAGGTCAACTATTTCTTGACGAATTCAAGCAATCAAAATGGATCTATCGAGCGGAAGGCAACTTGTAGTCTAAGTCTGGTGTTGCGAAAAAGAGCTCTCGTCTGTCGTCGCATAGATCGAAGGAGCGAAGAATATTCTGTGCGAACCATGCCTCATGCAGACTTCATCAGCGAGGCAACATGATAGGCTTTCGGATTTGTGTTAGAGGCAGATCGCAAAAATCAATTCGTACCTAATCCGAGAGACGACCAAGACCCCATCTTGTGTGGGGTTAAGGGATAGGGTCACTCTCCCGTGGCTTAGACAAACGGCTGGGCGTCCGAAACTTCGTATCAAAGAGTACAGGGTGCCGTGAGCAGAACTAACCTGAAGGCCATTTCTATGTTTGGAATCATAGACGAATCTTCAGCAGAATATGTGCGGGCATTCGGCCCGAAATCAAGAAAGGTCGAACTCGGGCCGATGGTCAATTTCATGTTTCGTCGTCACCGTCGACACACAGGTTTTCTACATCTAGAACGAGTCACCGCTACAAAGCTGTGTCTCTTTTACCCCCTTTTCATGTTTTTCGTGAAGATTTTGAGCTGATCGATAGTTCTTCACGGCAGCATTCTCAATCGCGGACCTGTTCTGTGTCGCGGCTAGAAGTGAAGAAGGGGGTGCCGCCGTGGGACGCGGGGGTGCTGCGGAGAGCGGAGAGCTTCATGTGAGCTCCGGGCACAAGGACGAAGCGAGAGGCGGCCAACCGACTTCCTCGTGCCTCGATACGGGAAAACAGGGGACTCTTAAACAAAACACACTTGAATCGAGTGACGCCGCCTTCTATGGGAGCATAATGTTGCGAGGAAAGTTAATGTTTTATGGCAACGTTGTGTCGGGAACTTTGGGGAAAAAAAGAAATGTTTACACGCTCACGATGGGGCGAAGAAAGATTTCTTCACGGGACGAAAGGGATGCGGAGGCGTGATCATTTTTCGGTCAGGAAAGACGAAAAGAAGGCACACTCCTTCCACACCGCGAAGAAACCGGATAGAGCGTGGGGGAGAGAGCAATAATTTGAGTAACATTTTTTTTTCCACTCCACACTCACGATACCCCAAGGCACCTAAATAACCTGGTACCATAACGATGCTGGGCAGAGCTACCTCCCTCAGGGTGGCATTGCTGTTGCTGTTGCTTCCTCCTTCGAAAAACTATCGCTGGAAAATCAAAACCATGAGTACACAATCCCCGAAAACTTGAAGCAACCGCTCTCTGACGTGGGTATTTTGTCTTTTGGGGTCATTCAAAAAGCGCTATTTCCTGACGCGCACGATACCCCACGATACCAAACTTGGGCATGAAAGATGTATATGTAGAGCAGGGAGCTACCTCCCGCCGAGTGGCTACGCTATTATTGCTAGTGCTTCCTCCTTCGAAACTAAAAAGTTATCGGTGGAAAACCAAACCCACCCGTGGCGGTCAAAAACACCGAACTTGAACTAACCGCCCGTGGCCGCTGACAATTTCGTGCGTCGACACGAACTAATTTTCCGGCGCGTTCGGCACCTCACGGCGCCAAACGTTGGCATTGCCAACAGCCCATGGCATCACCTCCTTCCGGATACCGTTCATGAGGCAACTCGTTTAGTACTCGTCGAGATATCGGTGAACACGGTGCCTTCCATTCGAAGCTGGAGTGGGAGTCTACGTGTGCGTATAGTGTGTCGTAGGGTGCTTGACTTGGACTATCAGCGGAATTCTCCGCGAAACTAAACTTTTGTTAGACACGTTTGGCGCGAGAAAGGGTCGCAAACGTTTTCTCCAGATCGCGCGAATACTGTTAAAAGAAAAGTTTCCGAACTTTAACTTTTCTCGCAACCTTATGCTCCCACAAACCGGTGTGAGAGGGGGTGGTACACAGGGTGCGATCGATTTTTACATTACACGATCCGTTCTTGACTTTTTTACGCACAGGGGTGCGATTTCACCGATACGTGCGATATCGCCGAAACGTGCGTTCTCTCGCGTCCTTACGGCCAATTAAAGCGTAAAAAACATGCAAGCGGAGGACACTACGGCCGAGAGGAAGGAAGGTGGCAGAACGGGCAGTAGCAAGAAGTATATACTTCTATGTGCCAGGCTGGGTGTGATTGGAGTTGGCAGGAATACCCACCATGCACCTCCCTTCAATGTAGCGCTAAATGCGCCATGAACCAAGTACGCATCCAAACGATTTGACTTCAGTCCATTTCCGTACCAGTACCAGAGACTGCGGTACCCGGGTGAGACAACTACGGGAAAAACCTGCTTCGAGCGCAAGGTCGCGGCGTGCTATCGCTATTGGCCCCGAGACACGTGTTCGAGAGCTGCGACTATTCGTCGCGCAGGGTTTTCGTGATGAGCTCGTCGTCGGGACTCCATGCATTGCAGCGTCAAGAGTGCAAAGAAACGTAGAAGGAAATGTTAATGTTTTCGTTGAACCTTGACGTCTATCCACTAGACCAATCTCACACACGCCCCGCAACCTACCATAATACCGGCCCGCTTACCGAAGGTCCTCGACCGGTAGTTACCGGTTGTTGCGAAACCTATTGTTCTTGTGCGACCCTCTTGCGAGAAAAACGTCCAATCTATTTAGGCAAGCATGGCGAATGGTCAGTAAACTCATGTCCAAAACAAAGTGATTGCCACAGCCCAAAGCAAAATAAAGTACAACGAGTGCATATGCACGACCGCTACCCTGTACACACCATGAGCATCGATAAAGAGAGAAGAAACGATGCAGCCAGGGAGGACACCTCCCGAATGCCGTTCGAGCTCTTTTCCCCGAATGACGTAATACCGATGCAGCACAACCAACCTTAAAGCCTTCGTTGACACCTCGGGCACTTGGCAGCTGGTCATACAAGACTCACACCGGTCGTTGCCCCCAACCACGCCGCTGCGGACGCAACGATCCATTTCAATGATGGTAGCACCCTCCAGGGCATCATGGGTGAACCCCTCCCGCAGAGAGTTGCAAGACACGTCATCCCCATGGGGTCTGCAGGATACCAACAGTAGGCAGGCTGCCACAAAATAGAACGACGCCGAACCAACCGCTGCATTATTTGTTGTCTTCGCATCAAAAACCGTTCCGACATGCCAGTCCAACGCGGGCAGACGTCTTTGATGGTCAAAAGCAGCAAGGGATCAGTAAGTACACATTTTTCATTGTTTTCACATCAAACAACGAAAGACGGTGAACGCAAAAAAACAGAGCAGCATAAAGCAGGCTCGTCAGCCGTCGCTGATACCATGTGTATCAGGCAAAATGAAACGTTCAACGGAAATACAGCAGTCCATCTCTCCCGCTCGGCCCATTATGCCAGACAGCTGAATCAAAGCAGCAGTGTGCGGGGATACCACAACATCGATCGGTCAGAACTCTCCCATGAAAAACGGACCTGCCGTACACTTCCGCGAAACGCATGTATGATCGAATCAAATATTACGACCCCAGGATACCATACGAACGCAACACACCAAGAGCAATGTTACCCACTACCCACACCTTACTGTCGTGCCGGGATACAGCATTGTCCATGTCCATGCTACAGCAGCGGGACAACACCGACGTGTGAAGTACTTCTAAGGCAGCGGTCTCACTTCAACTCAATCGGCCTGATTATCTTTAGCATACGAATTTGTGCCTTCTCATGCATCACAGCAAAGCACGAGAGGTGGAAAGCAAGGCTTCATCTTCTTTCGGCAAATGGGTGGTGTTGAGGAAACACCAGGTTGGGTTCGGGCTTGTCGTGCAACAGCAGAAGTGGCTTCACCTGCTGCAGCAACGAGTTGATGCAGTGGCACACCGCAGTAGCAAGCAGCAAACAACAGCCGTTTGCTGCGATCGCTTAGCCGCCGAAACCGTAGAGGGTGCGGCCCTGGCGCTTGAGGGCGTACACCACGTCCATGGCCGTCACGGTCTTCCGGCGGGCGTGCTCCGTGTAGGTGACAGAGTCGCGGATGACGTTCTCGAGGAACACCTTGAGCACGCCGCGGGTCTCCTCGTAGATGAGTCCCGAGATACGCTTCACACCGCCACGGCGAGCCAGGCGGCGGATGGCGGGCTTGGTGATGCCCTGGATGTTGTCTCGAAGTACCTTACGGTGGCGCTTGGCGCCGCCCTTGCCCAGACCCTTACCGCCCTTTCCGCGTCCAGACATGGTTCAGTTGGTGGGATTGACAGAGGAGGAGCTAAGTGGTTGTGAGGTGTTGTGTGAGGTGTTGTGTGAGGTGCTGGGTGGGGAGCGGGGCAACAGAGAACACGAGTGTGAAGGTCCTGCGTCGTCCGGGCGATCCATGCCTCGAAGAGAAACAGACTGGCGGCGCTGTGATTGGCCGTGAAATATTGTTTGCAGGCTTTACCGGACAGGGTTACGCCGCCTTTTTTACAAAACACATCGTAACGCGCGTGGGTTGGCGATGCCTTGGGAGCATTGCGGTAGCTGGCTGTGGAAGCGGGTATGTGACAAGCAGGCGGATGTCTTCCTTCGAATGATGCAACAACCATCATCAATCATTTGAGGCACGCCGTACGTGTATCTTACGAAGAAGACGCGCAATAGAGAGTTCATCGATATTTGCCCCGCGCCTCAAGCACACGACATCCACGCCACACTCCCCCCTCATCTCTTGCTTTCTCAGCTGATCTTGCAACGAACGACAGACACACACAACTCACCTTTACTATCTAGATCTTCAGTGTCAGTGATCGGCCGCCCAATATAGACCAGTTCCTGGCCTGCGATGTGTTTGGCACGCCAACCACTGGTGATCACCGACTGCCCACACAAGGCAGAGTTCGGTACGCACGCCGAACCTGCCTGGCACCTGGCACCATTATACACCATCGCTCTACAGCTCATGGTGTTGAGCCTCCAGAGTACCACGAGATCCGTGGGAGGAGCTCACCCGAGAAGTACTGATCGTGTGATGCGTTTCGACTGCCTCAATCTCTCTTGAGACCGAATCCAAGGTCTGCGTGCATGCCTAGTACTTACACGATGGAGAGCGTAAGACAGAGTTACACCTTTAGACTAGTCAGCGCTGACTAGTCTGATGGTGTAGCTCTATCTTTCAAAAAGATATACGCTCAGCTCATTAGCACCCGGCTGGATCACTTGGGTCTATGTATGGCTTATTGAGAGCAGGGATCTCCGGGGACGGACCCCTCGCCAGATGCTGATAGTTCCAGGTGCACTTGTTGTAAAGGAAAGTGGTCTAGCCGATATTTGAACTCGTGCGGGTGTCCTTTGTAAGATGGCTTATCCCATTAGGCTTATGGGGTAAGGCTATCTCACAAAGGATACCCGCTAGCCTGGCTGAGATGTCTAATGGGGTAAGCCTTTCCTACAAAGGACACCCGCACGAGTTCAAGTACCGGCTGGATCACTTTTCTTTACAAAATGTGCACCTAGAACTATCAGCGTCTGGCGAGGGGTCCGTCCCCGGAGATCCCTGCTCTCAATAAGCCATACATAGACCCCAAGTGATCCAGCCGGGTGCTAATGAGCTGAGCGTATATCTTTTGTAAGATAGAGTTACACGATTGGACTAGTCAGCGCTGACTAGTCAAAAGGTGCAGCTCTATCTTACAAAGCTAACTTGTCTAGAGGTGTAACTTTATCTTACAGAGAGCTGCTGTTTCAACTTTACAAGAAGACTCCTGCCCCTGGTTCTGTACAGGTGCCGCATGCTACGCGATGCTGCGATCTGCAAGGCACGTGCAGATTCGTCGCTGACAAGGTTGTGTTGAAGAAAGGTAAGGTACTCTCACTTTCCGATACACATGTGAAGTGAGGTAAGGCTCTCACTTCCCGATACACATCTCGCATGAATGAAAGAGAGCCCGGAAAAAGTATGCTATTCCTTGTCGAGCTGGTCCCGGGGGGATCAAAGAAGTCTAATACCCGTACGTATATACAAATAGTGAATGGAAAATTGAGGTCTATGCCACAATCGAGAACATCTTGAATGAACGTGAGGGACGGGTGAATGCCTGACGGTTTCTCACCTCTCAACGTGCAAACATCTTTAACTCTCTTCCTCAATATCACCACGTGTTTATGGCACAGATGCTTACTCCTTCCTGTTCAGGAGGTGGAGTTCGATGGCCGGGGGTACTCGACGGCTGTGACGTCAAACAAGAAGAGTTGTCATTCCAGGTAGCAGTGCTGACAGCCCGTGGTTTCAGCGTCAGCACAAACAACTCAATCCCATGCAAATGCAACCGTCCGTCCGTCCGCTGAGGCGTGGATAGCTATGTGTCGATGCCGCCCTCCTTCATCGACTAAAAGGACCGCTCGCTGTGGGTCCCCACGTCCCCACCCTTCTGCACAGCAGGATGGGGATAAAGACCTGATCAAGATTGACAAAGAGAAGACGGCCGTGATTCCGCGGCATTCACTACCAAAAAGTTGGGAAAGTCGGTCGACCTCAAGATATCATGGCGTGTCTGCTGCATTCTTCCTCCCTGTACATTGTACAAGGCCTGAGTGTGGCGTATGTTTATGATATATTTTCACCGTCAGGCTCCGGGCGGCCGCATCGCCCGTGCCAATACCGCGTCGTTCGACGTCTTTAAACGAAGAGCCTTGTCGTCCGCGCTGGATCGTATCGAACCCTCAGCACAAGAACGCTCCACTCGAGTATACTGCGGTAGGAGCATATTTCAAGATGTAGCTCACGTTCGTTTCTCGAGCCCAAGCAACGAGGGCGGAGGTTGGTGGCACCACCCACCTCTGTCACGATTGTCATGCTCCCGCACGCTTCCAACCACGGTAGCAGAGAGGATATCTCCACGGAGGCGTGGTGTGTTTGAATAAACACATTGCTAGTTTAAGAGAATGAAAACAGGTGCCCTGCTTTTTTTCGTCCTGCTGTGGAAGATTTTCCCGGTCCGTTGATGTTGGCGACAGATTTTCTGGTGACGTTGGATGTCTTCTAGATGAACTGGGAGCGCGTGAACGTGCAGTATCTGGTGTAGACCTCGCGATTGCCACAAGAAAGTCGATGGTATCATCATCGCCATATCATTCAGGGGTGAGCTCAACTACTTCCGACACGATCGTACCTCGTGCGCTTCGTGCGCCTCCGATTCAGTAATATCCAGAGTAGAGCACATCTTATACAAGAGTCGGCATGTATTGTCGAATCACGTAAGGACAGCTGCCGTTCGACGTGCTCTTGCTAAGACTCTCTTACACATCGCATGTATGTGCTTCAGTTGAACACCCCCACAGCAGAAGGCGGCCACCTTACAAAACGGGAGGGATATCCTCGCACTTTCTTCATATCTCAGACACGCGTGATGGGCAAGCCGCAAACGATAGGCAAAGCCGAACCGGAGCGCGTCCACTGCTGACCGTGCATCCTCCACCTTGGGCTGCTTAATGGATCCTGATTTCTTAACGATGAGTGGGAGAGGGTTTCGACGTGATGGGCACGGGCGCTTTCGGGGAAGCGGAAAAGCGGGGACTGGGGTGGTTAGTGCTCGCAACAAAATGTGCTCATGACGTGTTTTTTGCACGGGTACAACCCATGAAGAGCTTACACAAATAGTGGAGAGGCGGGCGGAGTCACTCACATCCATGCTTCACTCACAATGTCAACATCATTCCAATCTAAATAACAAGGGCGTCTTCGGTAAGGTACTACCGAGGCGTACCGGCGGAAGAATACCTCCGGTATACCTGTACCGAGGAGGTTCGGTACGTTCGGTACGATGCCCATACCGATACCGACACGTTCGGTACGTTCGGTACGATGTCCATACCGGTAACGAGATGCTCGGTATGTTCGGTACGATGTCCGTACCGATACCGGCGGTGCCGGTATGACACTCCGTACCGATACCGAGATGCTCGGTACGTTCGGTACGATGTCCATACCGGTACCGAGATGTTCGGTACGTTCGGTACCATGTTCATACCGGTACCGAGCGCACCCGTACCGAGCGTACCGGAACCGGGCTAATCGGGAAGTTGGCACGAACAGGTAGGTGGCTGAAAACACTTTCGACCTACTCAACAACACGGAGACGCCGACGGTCGATGGCCTTACCGCTGGCATGTCCTTGGAGGAGGATTAGGATTCGGATTTAGTCGGATCGATATCGAGAGACATCTGTTCTGATATATACGATATACTAAGTATCTGATATCTGAGCATTTTCTGGGCGCTTGTCGCACGGGGGCCCGCGTTCCTAGTGTCCGTTCGGTACTTGTACTTAGGTTGGACGCAGTATTAAGTTTAAGTTTTAGTTTTAGTTTTCGCTCGCCTAACCCTGTTTTGGTTTTGTTTTCAAATGCCTGTTTCCTGTTTTGATTTTGCAACAGGGCAATTCGCTCTTGAGTTTTAATTTTCGGACAGACCCTTGGAAGTTCAAATCGTTTTTGTCGTTTGCTGCAAATTCAAATTGGCAAATTGGTTTGTTTTGTTGTTTCCGTTTTGTTTTTGTTTGACTCGCGCGCGTAAAAAATATATATAATATATTTCGATATATTGCTTGGTATTTTGCGAGTTTTGCTGTTGTTCTCTCCTGCCTTCGATTTTGCGATTTTCAATGGGGAGAAGCAGTGTTGCGGCCTCCGTACAATCTAAATCTGTATCTAATTCCAGTTGCTATATTTGTATTTGCTATCTACAGGAGTATGATATGTTTGTTTTTGTCGCACTACTGCTGTCGCGCACATACACACATTCACATTCTTCATGGGCAATAGCAATAGATACTGCTGTAGAGCGATGCTCGGTACAAATACCGCCGGTATCACCGGTACGGTACCGGTACGATGCCCATACCGGTACCGAGATGTTCGGTACGTTCGGTACGATGTCCGTACCGNCGGTTTCTTCTCACTACCGGGTCACATGGTTCGGACGGTAAAAACAACGGAACGTGAACATGCCTCGACCGGGAGGTAGGAACCAATTTCACGTATCCGGGGCCATCGGCGATCTGTACAGTCCCGACCTTTCTAGTCGCCTCGTAGGACAGACGGTGAACTTCACAGCAGTCTTGGTCACCGCTTGTGTGCTTTTGGTGCGGACGTCAGATGTGTTGTACTTAAGCGGCATTTCCCTCTTGATTTCTGGGTGGTGTTGAGTAAACACCAGGTGGTTGGTTGCATGCAGGCCTTACAAGGCCAGAGGGCGGAAATGGCACCCTCCGGCATGCTGGGGGTCAAGCTTCGACAAAGGATGCGGTTGGAGCCAAGAGAGAAGGGGACGGGGGCTTTCTCGACCTATCCACATACGTCGCTGTCGCTGGCGCTTAAGCCTTCTTGGGAGCAGCCTTCTTCTTAGGGGTGGAGGGCTTCTTCTTGGTGGTGGTAGGCTTCTTGGCGACCGCCTTCTTCTTAGTCGCAGCAGGCTTCTTGGCGGTGGTGGGCTTCTTCTTGGCAACGGTCTTCTTAGTCGCAGGCTTCTTGGCGGCCGGCTTCTTCTTGGCGACCTTCTTCTTCACGACCTTCTTGACCACTTTCTTCTTTACGACCTTCTTCTTGGGGGCGGGCTTCTTCGCCTCGGGGCTGAGCTTGTAGGAGCTCTTCACCTGCAACACGAGGCAACCACGAAATGTTCAAGAAGCATCGAATTCAGGATTCAGGGGCACCGACTGGTATCGAAACAGCATACACGGATACGTGCATCACGCTGCCAGGAAGCTGAGGAAACACATGAAGATCGGCACAGCAGTAGGACCTCTGTCTGGTCGGAACACATATTCCCCCGTTCGCATTACCTTGCAGTGCAGTTCTTGCCTGGACCCGAAAGGAACCAAACAAAACGACTTGGTGCTAGGTGCCCAACACACAAGACGTGACAAGAACAGGAAAGGCAGGAAAATTTCCCGCTGGAAACCAACATGTCCTACACCAGAAGGGATGGCTGTCTCACCTTGATGAACTTGCCGGACTCGGTGCCCTTCTTGAGAGCGCTCCTCATCTGGTGAGGGGTGAAGTTGAGGCTGGGGTACGTGGCCATGATCTGCTTCTTGAGAGCAGGGAGGGACGAACCTCCTCTCTCCTTGAGAGCCTTGATGGCGTCGAACACCATCTGCCACCACAAGAGACAGCAAGGAAGCGTTACTCAGCTTTCCCCGAAAACAGCGTTTGTTTGTTCGTGTGCTGCTGCTGCTGCTGTAGCGTCGAGTGCTGCAGTCGTTCAAAATAAGCCGTCCTTGCGGGGGAGGCGAGACAAGTACAAGACACACTGCGTGGTCGATCACGACTGTCGGAGGTGTTTTCATTGACGGGAGGATCGCCACGCCGTCCGTGGCGTGGAAGACCAAGGGTTAACCTTCACCATTTCGGAACACCTTGCTTCCCTGCCGGAGCACAACAAGCCTTACAACGTCTGATGGTCCATGGGCGCGGGCACAACAAAGTCACACCGTCTTAGAGCAGCCATCACCAATCGTGAGGCCATCCACTCAAATGCACCCATGATACTGCTGTAGGTGGTCGCACACGGCAGTGTTTCGCGAGACGATCGTTTGCCTGTCTCCCGTTTTACAACTAGTTTCCAGCTGCTTGAAATCCTTCAAATCTTTCAAACGGACATGATCTGCATGAAATTTGGCACAGGGTTGCAATTCCCCTGCTTGACTCACCACGCTGTATGTCGGCTTCGCGGTCGTTGCCATGGTTGCCGCTGTTGGGGCTCGTATACGGAGGTGGACGAAGAGAGCAAGAGACAGAGAATGGGGTGAGGAGAGCAAAGAGATAGAGCTCAGGTTTCCCCAATAACGCCTTTTGTGCCTGTTCGCGGTTCAATCACAGCACCATTTGGCATTCTGGCCAATCGGCACGCGCTACACTTTCAAACTTATCACGCCGCGTTCTCTCGCCCACTGCTGCTCGCCTCTCTCGATCGCTCAACCCCGCCATCGACCACTCTGTCTCTCTCCTCTCTCTTGCCCGCAAACCTTTCCAGCCTTATCACAAGCAACATGGCCCGCACGAAGCAAACTGCACGTAAGTCCACCGGAGGCAAGGCCCCCCGTAAGCAACTGGCGACCAAGGCCGCCCGCAAGTCCGCGCCCGCCACCGGCGGTGTGAAGAAGCCCCACCGCTACAGGCCCGGCACCGTTGCCCTGCGCGAGATCCGTCGCTACCAGAAGTCCACCGAGCTGCTCATCCGCAAGCTCCCCTTCCAGCGCCTGGTCCGCGAGATCGCCCAGGACTTCAAGAGTGACCTTCGCTTCCAGGGCTCCGCTGTGCTCGCCCTGCAGGAGGCTGCCGAGGCGTACCTGGTGGGCCTGTTCGAGGACACCAACCTGTGCGCCATCCACGCCAAGCGCGTGACCATCATGCCCAAGGACATCCAGCTGGCCCGCCGCATCCGCGGCGAGCGCTCTTAAGCGCCCTTGCTTTCCTGGCTAGTACCTGAGGTATTGCCCACGCTTTACCGCACCGTGGGGCCCACCTGCAAAACCTGGTGTTTATTCAACACCACCAAGATCACGAAAAGATAACGTCGCCCCGCATTCGCGTGCCGTTTTCCGGTCTTTCTAGCGGTGCTTGCTTGTGGAGGTGGTCAACGTGATCAGTGGTTCGGGGTATGGTGATCGAATACCGCAGAGCTCTCTGTCGGCGTGAGAAGAAGGGTACTTGTCGGGGTGGTCGGTATGCAATGGAAATTTTAATTGCAACGTTGCAGTATAGCACCCTAAACGACGGTGATAACTGATGATATTTAGAATCCTCCAAACAATAGTCTACATGTGTATCTGCAGATTGTAGCACGCCGCTTCTCCTGACGGGTGATGTGATGAGATTTTCAGTGGAATCACAGCGTTGTATTTTGCTGTCTTCGTTTTATTGGACACGTTTTTCTCGTCAACGGACTGATCTCTAACGGGCAACATGTTGTCCGCTCGTACGCATTTGCGCGCATGTCTAGATGTTCCTGCGCTCCTCCTACATGGCTCCTGCATCACTGATGCGACGACCTATTACGACTTGACTTGGACACATACCGTATAGACGCAAGATAACACACCCCCTGGACCGATTTTCAAAGCTCGATTACTCCACGACGAAGGGGATGCATAAACGAAATGATACATTTTCGGCGCTGTAACTGTTTCTGCAGTTGAGAAATCGAGCTTTGAAAATTGGTCAAGGGGGTGTGTTATCTTGTGTCATATACGGAATCTTGGATGTGCATACGCTCACGCGTGGACGCAACATCCTTCCCGCCACATAGTACGTATAACTATTGCGTACTCCGATGAACACCTAGTAATATTGTACTGACATTTTTTTCGGTAGTTGGCCCATGACCACTTGCAGGCTGCAGGTACTGACTGCGACTGGAACAAATGCTGGCGCTCCGCATCAATCTCTGTTGTCGGCGTAAATTTTGCTGTCTTCGTACTGCTCCCTGCGGATGTCGTGCAGCGACCATGTTCTCTGAACGAATCAGCTGTGGAGTGGCATGGAGAGTCGAGCCTTCCGTTGGCAAACATCAATTGGTACCAAACGTCATTTGTTTGAGAATTTGCCGCATTTATTGCGAGGTACGCGAGGGTCTTGATTCGCAGTTTTGCGACACTGCAGTCGCCTTCGTTTGCCGTCCCTGGTGGCAGAAATCCCGGGATTGCTCGAGCACTCTATTATTTCATAGAGACGAACACCTACAGGCACGTCCGCGCTCTGACTCGACACCGATGTGATGAAAGAAACCGCTACCGCTCGGTAAATCCACGTCTGGCCATCAACCCAACGCATGGCTGCAGCGAAGTATTGATATCTTGTTACAGTGTTGAGAACCGTTATTTCATCTGCGGACAGCGGGAGCACGGAGGTATCCCATGCGATGACAAAGCTTGCAAAGATTAGCTCTACGAGTGTGACGCATTTTGTTTGAACGCTCTGGCGCGCCCTTTCCACGATCTCGGTAGAACTTTTGAGCCCGACGCCATTTGCGTGTCGGGAGCGCCTTGAGGGCTGCTGGGTAAATATATATATATATATATATATTTTTTTTTTTCTCCCATCATTGGATTCTGTCGTCTGCCCTTCTTGCCCCTTTCCTCCACTTCTACCAGCTAGACGACCCAACCGGGGTCACATAGGAGGGGGGGTTGGACCCCCTCCTGCGGTTCCTGCCTGAGATATTTTAATCGCGAGAAGGGTGCAACAATCCCTTCCCTCGCGACTTATGAAGTCGATCAAGTTTACTAACAACGAGCTTTGCAGCGCGTCGCTTCCAACGGAGACCAGGATTACATTAGCGAGAAAAAACTCATCTGTCGGGACTCGAACCCAAGACCTGGCCCTCAGCAGGCTGCGAGGCTACCCACGAGACCACCGGGGCGACCTGCTGGGTATGTATGTATACTCTCTTGGTTCTCCAGTAGGATCACGCATGTTAATTGAGCACGCCTTCCGAGGCATAGGAGAGATGCTCATCGTAGATGGGATAGGTCCACTCCACATGCAGCTCTCAAGATTAGTGGATCCTGCCTACCCCTGAACACCTCGACAGTAACGAAAGCAGCACTAGAGACCGACTTGAGCCGACATCTCAAACGGGCTTCAAAAACCGAATCTCCATTACCTACTCAAGCTCGAACAACCGCAAATGTCACAACATGTTGTACGAGCGCCTCAAGAGAGAAACGTCCCTGTCATCCGCCTTCCATCCTCCTAGAGCTGTTTATACTCGGCAGGTGACGTCTATTTTTATGCACAAATTAGGTTCAGGGTGCACCTCGGGAAGCTACCGGTTTTTTTTTCCCGCTGTGGTGGTTGATCCCAGTACTGGCGGTAAATTACCGCCGAATGTCGGTGGTACCGGGAACTCCCGAAAACGGAATACCGCCTCCTGCCGAAAGTACCGTCATATTGCGTGACCGCGAAGAAATACCACCAAAAAATGTACCGTGAACGGCCTACAAAGAACCGCCATTTTGCAGTACCGGCGAAGAAAGTACCGGCCCGTTGCAGTACCGCAAAAAAATAGAGTCGACGGTCCTCTATAAGCGGTACCCTGAATAGCGGAGTGCCCTGAATAGCGGCACCGAAATTTCTTGTATCACAAGTGAATCTCTCAGTACAATCGCAAATAGGAATAGCGACACTGCCCTGAATAACGGCACCAACACCTCATGTCACTACCTACCGCTATGACGAGCGGCGACTGCACCGCCATACTTCAATACATTTTCCCTGCTGGGCTTGAATGTGTTGCCGTTCTTCGTTTTGATGTTTACTCTGAAGCCCTTCAGTGCCTGTCGCGGTGTTGGGATGTAAATCTGTGTAGGTTGTATCCCTGGCACCCCCCTTGCTGTGTGGAAAACGAGAGCTGATAACCTGTGGGTCGTGGCTAATAACCTGTTGGGATGTAAACCTGTGTAGGTGGTATCTCTGGCACTGGACACTGTGTATGGAACAGTGCAGGTGCAGAGGCTCACAGAGTGATCGTGAAATCACTTGGATATAGGCTGAAACAGAAGATGGTTTGGGTGGGCGCTTAGGTGGCCGAAAGGTAGAGACAGATGAGGAGTGAGCAGGTGGGGGCGAACACCACAGGGGTGAGCCCTCTGGCCTGTCACGGAAAACGTCACACTCGGCTATTGCCAATCAACCGATAATCGGATAGTCCGATGTATCACAATATCCTAGAATATCCTTGTGAATATCTTTAGCTCAATGCACAGATATGGCTATCATTTAACCATTAACCCGGTCACTCAATACAATTAACCGAAGACTATTCCAGTGATAGTACTGGATTCCTATGACTTGACATTATGTGTGGTAGCTTACAGCAGTACCAATACTGACTACGGAACATTGAATATTCCAACACGCGGAAACTCTCACATCTGTATTTTTGACCCCATTTTTTCTGGGCAGATGGAGCACAGCATCTGCCCAGAATATACATGTAGCAGTTGGGACAGCTCGGGCAAAATATTATCTGTTGTGAGCAAGTCTTAGATCCCAAATTGGTGCCTAGATGGTGAAATGGGCTCCAGTCTGCTGGGGTATTTATCGAGCTTGGTCACGGACGGACGTTTATCGGGTTTTCCCCCCCCTCATCCATCATGGTCATTTTTATTGTTTTTGTGCGCCCAACAACATGTACATGCGATCCCTCAGCACAGTTTTTTTCCCAAAAAACGAAGCACGCCTACAGCACCTGGTCGCTCTGCAAAAAAAGAACTATTAATAGCAAGTTGTTTTTCTTCGGTCGGTGTTTCTCGAGATTCCAACGACAGATTTTCGTGTGGGTTGGAAGATGTGTCCCTCCTGGCCCCGTCCGCCCCTCCTGCAAGCTTGGTGCAAAAGCTTGTGTCAGTTTTGTAACGCGTCCGTGTTTTGTATGTCTTCGTATTCCCCCCCGTGCAAAGAACCGAAACGCACCCTCCCTCTGATTAATACCTCCCTACGGAGACATAGGACGGTAGACGACGAAGACGAGAAGTTAAATGTGATTGCGGATCCGAGTGCGAAGACGGGGTTCATGTAGTCGCGGAATGTCAGTAGTACGAAAATGAGAGGGAAGCGTATATGACCGAGCTGGGAAGAAAGGAACGGAGGTACAGGGCGATGTTTGAAGCATGGAATAGAGAGAAGACGGTAGTTGTACTGGGGAATAGGAAGTGGTTTGAGAAGGCGGCAAGTGATATCGGTAGAAGAGATATCGTTAGGATAGATAGACTAGGAACGACATTTTTGAGCCACCTTTGGCAAAGTAGGAAGAAACGATTGGCCATCGGTGATCGGTCCTGTGGGAACAATGCTCCGTCCTCTCAAGGACGCGTGGTCAATGGTCCAACCTCTAGAACTTCTTGCACGCCACACGACAGGAAGGTGCATGTCCACGGTTTCGTTCATGCAAGTCGACGATTTTCCGCCAAAGGCGGTAGTGCCATCGTCTATAACCGGCAGAAGAATCCCACCATATTTGGCAGTACCTGGACCTGCCAAAGGCGGAAACGCCGAAAAACCAAGTACCGGGAACCGCCGAAGAGAGTATCGCCAAATTGAAATAACGCCCCGCCTGTATCCTCCTAAAACAACAGTAGCAGCGAGGTACCCCGATTATGCTGGATAATGTACCGGTGCGTACATGTGAGACAAGACCCCAACACTCGGAAGAGTATTACGACGTGGTATCCCGCCTGTGAAGTTAGATGACCCCACAGAACTAACCCAGGCTGGGCGTTCATTCGTACATTATGGCGGGAAACGAGAAAGCTCAGGTTTAACGTAGATGTGGGGGTGGGGGGATCTCATGAATTTTTTCTTTCATAAGGCAGACCCTTGAGCAAGTACAGCCGAAGCAGGGGAGCTTTTGCACTGGACTTGGAACCAACGGACAGTGATAGATCTGAGCAGTGTCTAGATTCAGCAACAGAGCACAGCAGACCAACATCCGGACAGCAGCGGAGTCAAATACAGCAAAGCGCCGTCTTACGAGGGGTTTTATGGGAGAACGGTCTTTTTAGTTAACAGTCCCGACCAGAGCAGTACTTACTGAAAGAATATTGAAATGAGAGAATCTATCGTATTCCGTGGTGAAAGCAGTAGCCACAGAAGTATATATAAAGCAGACATGGCACTAGACTCCAATGAGGGCAAAGTGCAGATGGAGCTAGCCTCTATCGTCACGAGCCCTAGCATTCATTCTGAACGGGCGAGACAGGTGAGTTGCCCGGGGCAGCAGTCGTGCGGCCGCCGCCGTATTTGAGGTAGCACAACGCTTGTATTAGTATGAACTCGTGGATGTCAATTTAGAAAAGCGAGGTATGCCCAAAATGTCCTGCCATCATCGACGGAGCAGGATAGCTTGGAATAGAGTTTTACATGTAGAGGAAAGGGAGACATGCATGAGAGTCCGGAGAGATTGCCGAGCCGAGGCCGGGCCTGCTGCTTGTTACACATTGCTGCGTCATTCCATTGTTTGGAGGCAAGGGTTTCAATCACTACATGTACAATCTTGAGACACATCCATCATGAGGAGCTCTCAAAAGACGGTATCACGATACACACATTGGGTCATGCGTCGAATTCTACAGTATTGTCACCCATCTAACGAGGAAATCGACCGGAGAAAAGACACTATGCCGACGGATAGTTTGTTTGCGACCAACGTGTATATTCCAAACACGGCCGACGGCAGTCTCGTTAACTGTTATGGATTTACGTCACGCATGGCGTCAACAGACGGCGTTTTTTCTTGCTCAAGTGCTGTGTGCAAAAAAATTACGGCTCAAATATCTTGAAATCTATAAATACCAGCGGCAGAATCGTGGGATATCCCGTGTACGCTCAACATTGCAAGTCGAAAGGTAGCAACGCTTGCTACTGCAAGGGTTCAAACGGGAGTATTCTACGAAGGGATGAACCAATTCGGCAAGTGCGCAAGTATGGACATTCGCCATCAACTATTGTTCGAACCCACCTGCGACGTACATCTCCTGTACGTGATGTGTGCATCGCTCGCTCGCCAACCCGCGCCTCAAGACTCGGCCCCGCTACCGATCGATGCGCCCCGTTTGGGTGAGGCTGCTTTTCCTTTTTGTCATGTTGGTGGTGTTGAGTAAACACCAGGGTGATAAGAGCTCTCATGGAGCAGTAGTGGAGATCAAGGCTCATTCCATCTCTTACGACGAGGTGAACTTGGTGACGGCCTTGGTGCCCTCGGACACGGCGTGCTTTGCGAGCTCCCCGGGGAGCATGAGGCGCACGGCGGTCTGGACCTCGCGCGAGGACAGCGTCGCCTTCTTGTTGTAGCGGGTGAGCTTGCCAGACTCGCCGGCCACGCGCTCGAAGACGTCATTGATGAACGAGTTCATGATGGACATGCCGCGCTTGGAGATACCGGTGTCGGGGTGGACCTGCTTGAGCACCTTGTAGATGTAGGAGGAGTACGACTCGGTCCTCTTGTTGTTCCTCTTTTTGTCGCCGGCCTTCTTGGGCGCCTTAGCGGACTTTTTGGAGGGGGTCTTAGCCATGATGCTGATGAGGTGTTTTGCGAGAGAGAGACTTAAGAGGGCAGAGAGATGATGTGACGGGTTGTGGGCAGGAGGAGAGACCTCGGTCGAGTGCCATGAGACCGTGTCGGAGGCAACGTTGGCGCTGTTCCTTTTCGTCCACCACTTTCCTTTTGGCCAATCATGGAGCTAGATATTGCTTTCCGCCAATCACAGACCCGAACTGTGCGGTAGGAGTGTGGGAGTATCAGTTCTTTGTTTTGAACTTCTGAATTCCTCCGCATAGACCAGGTACCGCCGTAGCCATCCTCACGCGCACCCCGCCACAACTCATGCACACACCTCACTCCCTCTCTTTCTCTCACTCTCTTCTGCCTCCCAACAACAACCATGTCCGGAAAGGGAAAGGGAGGCCGCGGAACGAAGTCGACCACCCGGTCGGCCAAGGCTGGACTGCAGTTCCCTGTGGGCCGTGTCGGCCGCTTCCTCAAAAAGGGCAAGTATGCGTCCCGCGTGGGTTCGGGAGCGCCCGTGTACCTGGCCGCCGTGTTGGAGTACTTAACCGCCGAGGTGCTTGAGCTAGCCGGCAACGCCGCCCGGGATAACAAGAAGGCCCGCATCATCCCCCGCCACATCCAGCTGGCTGTCCGGAACGACGAAGAGCTCAACAAGCTCCTCGGTGAGGTGACCATCGCGTCCGGTGGGGTGCTGCCCAACATCCACGCCGTACTCCTCCCCAAGAAGGTCGTCAAGAAGTGAGCTCCCCTCCTTGAACTTGGGCGGCCTGTTGATCCAACGCGTGGTTCACTTAACTGCGTGCGAACAAAAATCTGGTGTTTACTCAACACCACCCTTTCAAAACTTAAGAAAAACAGAGCCGAACTTGCGGTTTGCCGACCGCCGTTGGCCCCCAAGACCTTGATCGAGTTGCAGTTGGTTTGGATTTGCCGAGTGTACGTGGTGAAAGTTCATCGTGTTAGGAGGAAGACGAGATGTTATTCGTGACTCAGCTTTTCGTTGAAGATGCTATTATTTTAGTATTATAGGATCGCACGGGTCTCATGGGTGGTACGTATCTTGTGTCAGTGTTGTATACATAAGTGTTTTCAACAGACTTCTCGGAAGGGTTTCGGTTTCAATGACCCAGTGGGATCTGTAAGGGTGTGATGAAATCTCGCCCATCCGGTGAATCGCGCCCACAGAACACGCCTACTGCTGCTGTACGAGGGTATGTGATGGAGACGTCATCAAGTGTCTTACCTCATCGGTGTAGGTAGCTTTGCTCGCAGTGTATATATAAGGGTAGACGGACGTATGCGGTTGTGGTTGGCTTTTCGGTAGCGGGTAGTGGTGCGGGTGTGCGGGCCTCGACAACACGCACATGTGGTGAAAGACGCAGCAGGTGCGGGAGTCGCAGAAGTAGCCGTCTTGATTCAGTGGAGTTCAGCAGTTCCATGTGGTGCCATGAACGGCTGCTGAGCAAACAAATAAATGATGTTGCTAAAAGTGGAGCAGCCACGGAGTCTCACCCAGTACAGGTACGTGCTTGCCAGCCGGGTTTTGAACTGTATTCCCCTCCTCGATATGGACTGCTGCCTCCATTGCATTTGCCACGTGTGTACACGTTTTTGTTGGCAGAGCGCGGGAAGGGGGAAAACGCGCACGTGTTAGCACATGGCGCATGTGCGCCGTGTTTACGAAACAAGTGTCCCAATCTCTCTTGACATCTCCTAGGGTAGGTTGCTGCGTTGCCTCTCTGGTGCACCCAAACGCGAGAACGTGAGCGCGACCGATTCTACCCTCCCCCCGTCCCATCCGGGCAATTGATCTCTAGTGCTCTAAAAAACAAAAGTTCGATGCCGGCAACACGTATGAACGATGCACGCCGTCGCATTAAAAAACCCCATGTGTAGCTCGCCGCCTTACAGCCCACCCTCCCCAACACCTTCCTGCAGCAAAGTGCGAACGTCTCCGAGGACTAGGCAAACCCCCACCTTTACCGGTCACAAGCCTGAATATAAACCCACGTCGAATTCCAAAAACATCCCGGTTTAAAAGGTGACATACGTTCGCGTGCAGACTCATGCAGTACTGCGACACAACTTGACTTCAACGAAATTCCCCCCAACCCGTTTAGCCTTCCACACTGCCGCTTGTCCCCGACGAGACTCCGGATGGAGGCTGGCAACAGCTTTTGAAAGGGCAAGGTTGCGCCAACAACAGAGGAATTGGAACACAAAACTGGACGCGTGACGCACCGCGCCATCTCACCGCGTCCCACTCGAGACAAGACTAGAGCGTCCACTTCACGCGACAAGGGAACGGTAGGCAGTCCTCATCTTTATGCGACCGCAACTGTTTGTATCTCCCCGCCCTTCTTCAAAATCACGTGACGGTGCATCCGGGGTGCACACCAAGGAAAACATGGCCGACAAAATGGTACCAGCATGCGCAAGGTAACCGTTTCAAGCAAGGAGCCGACCAAGTCAAGTCGCACAGTCTGCTACGCGAACCGTCGCCACACTCGTACCAATCGCGCACTCATCAAGCAGACTGTCAAGGCGAAACAGCCTCCAAGCAGGGGTTTCATGAGCCCCAATCTATGGCAAATGAAACACAAACTCAAAAGTCGCCCGCCTCAACTCCGAAACTTTCGCAACTTCTGGTAGCAACGGGCCGTTTCGGACGCGGACACAACACACAGTAATAAAGGCTTCAACCCGCCGTACAACGCGGTCATGTATGCCCAGGGCTCGAATGCAACCACGGGGGGTGCGGTACATTCCACTCTCCGCATGACACACAACGGAGTGTACCCAGGCACCGACGAAAAAGGGTCATCATATCTGTTGGGCAGGTTCGGGTGCAGGAGAGAGTGGAGCAGTTGCAGCTACTCCGTTGAGGGATGCGGCCGACAGGACTACAGCGCATCCGTACCATCGCTTGGCTAAGGATCATCTTAGTCTCCCGCCGTCCTGGTCAAACGGCAACAATGCAACACGAGGCGAAAGACGTCAAAAGGAATGACAGAAAACTGAGCAGACGGCAGTAAGCCGTTTCGATTGTACTGCCGAAAAAAGAACGATGAAGGACCGAGAAAACCACTAGAGACAGTCTCCGTGGCTTCCCAGCACTAAGGTTGTGGATAAACGAATGCACGATGCCAACGATATATGTTCGCCGACGGGGTGCCTGAGTTTGATTCCCCATTGCTTGGGGATAGACGAAAACTTCGCAGATGGTCTTTTGGCAAAATGGTGTGTTTGCATTCAAGACCGAAAGGACCTCTATCCAGTGATTGTGTCCTCTCTTTCCCAAATTCGTCAAGTACCACACAACAAACTTCTGCAGTAACTAACCTAATCCCCCACTAACGAACAAAACAAGATTACGAAACGTCCGAGCGTTGAACCCATCACTCGTCAAGCGTATTCTCCTAGTTGATCGAAACAACCAAGACAACTGCTCGCCACAACTAGTATATATGGAGGTGAAAACAAGGCGAAATTTGAAAATGTTCAATGTGGGGTTCCGTTGAAAAATTCAAAAAAATATTCGAACAAAACACTGCACAAATGCAGCACAATTTCGACCTCCTCTTTGTGTGGCCGGCCGCAACCAACAAGTCTGTCATTACACACGGCAGTCATTTGAGACGTATTGGAAATTGTCCCTCACCTCGCCATGTAGGCCTGAAGATCAGCGGGCTGCAGCACGATACAGCCCTCGTTATTCCGCATCATGCTTGGTTCCAGACCCATGTCCGAAAGCAGCTCCATCACTCTTGGCTGTGAACAGGGGGTAGTGGATGGGACATGATAGGAAGGGGGTATGCTGATGAGTTTTGCTCTACATGAAATCGTTCGAACTTTTGACGCATCCCGAACGAAACGAAGCGGGGAACCGCTCCGACTGCTTCACCAGAGTAGTTTCCCTTCGAGTGAAACCGCTCGGCATCAATCTCAATCCTTTGTTTACATCTACCGAGACGGCAAGGCAGCCATTTCGTCGTCAAGCCTTCGACGTGACGCCAGCGCGCAGTACGCTCCCTCTATGCCACGAAGGCCTCCAACATTGACAATAGTTGTCGTATTCAAAAACTGCTTCCGGAGCAACAGGGGGAACGGCTGCACCCCTTACGAATCCGCATCAACACAGCGACAAAAACAGTGGCCCCATCGCCCTCAACGACACCAGCAACAGCTGCGCCAACACAATCGCCACCATCACCATGACCACAACCACCACCACCACCGCTGCTGCTGCTGCTGCTGTACTGCACCTTAATCACCGCTTCCCCGTCCTTGCTGTTGTTCCCCATCCCGGTGATGATTAACAGCTCCTGTGTCGGGTCGTGGAAGGGTCTCGTGGAAGGTTTTCGTGCCATGTCCAGCAGCACCACTCGAACCGCCGCCCTTCAGAACCAATAAACAAAAAATGTGTGGGGGGGGTTAAGCGTGGACCTAAGATGAAGGGTCTCGTACGAGAGCTTTGGTGCCTCGCCCTGCAGCACTCCTCGAACCGCCAATAGCAACAAAACAATGCGAGGGGGGTTGCATGTGGATCAAAGGTACACGTCAAGGGGAGAGGGGGGGGGGGGGGGGGGTGTACTCATAGTCGTGCATGCCGT